GATTGCCCCAAACTGGAGACAATGTGGAATGATGTCACAATGATGAGGTCTCTGAAACAGTAAAGGTGACATATAATTTGAGTTTTGCAATGACAACTCTGCATTAAAAGAATGCATGATCAACTTAATGTACACAATTTGTTTTAAATGGAAATCCTATAAACTTTTACATGTACCTTTCATATACTCACATAACTAAATGTCAAAAAAGAGAGAAAAGATCAATACTTTTACAAAGAAATTAAACGAGTACAGTTTAGTTATATTACAAAAAAATATATATACATACCGTAAGTCGGTGATTGACTTTAATCAGATTCAATGTGGATTGATGTCACAACAATGTCTCTGGAATATTAAAAACGACATGATTTGATTTTTGTAATGAAAGTACAACTCAGCATGAAAAGAATGCATGTTCCACTTCATGGACACGATTTGTTTTAACAGGACATCCTACAAACTTTTACATGCAACTTTCATATAATGTCGAGCATGTTTGAACAACGCTTCAGCATATTTGCAAAGCATATTTATAGAAAAGCTAAATGTAACGTTACGTCGAGATGGCTAATCTATTACAAAAATTTTTTTAAAAAGCAAAATCTGCCATCTGCCTAAAAAGATGCACATAGTCGACCATATATATCTTAAAATGATCCAATTTGCATATAACAGATTAGGGAAGGCCGAAAATATCTAACGTTACGTTAGTTCATTCGCCAAAAAGTGCAGTTAGGGCAGTTAAGGTAAGGTAAATCAAGATCGATCAAATAATAAAAATAGTTTATGTTTAAGTCTACATCAATTATAAATGAAGAAAATATCTTACCTTGTATTAATCTCCTCATCTGTTCTTCCTTAATCTCCCTTGCTACCGTTGAGTCACCGTCGTCGCGCCCTAGTCGATTTGCCGCCTTCAGTTTAAAAAAAAAAAACATCTAATATGCGCATGCGCAACATCTGCATTCGCGCTTTAATGCAACAAATTAGGTATAGTTTATGTAATTTGATCAGGTTAGTTTCGGATTCATTACGTTCATGTTGAGAAAGCGTAATTCGGAATAATAATAATTATTTTATACTTTTTTAAATATACTTTATTTAAATTGTTTGCTTCATTTCAATTACTGGCAAGAATCATTTTTTTGAGTGTAGAGCTCCTCTCTGTTATTTTGAATAACTGCAATGTAAAATGGGCCGTGCGGAGCCTGCAAAGGACCAGCTTAAACCAGCATCCCAGCGTCAAAACATACCTAACCAGCATATGCTGTTTTTTTCAACAGGGTTCTGGCCGCAGTCTGAGCAATTCATTCGAATCCATATAACAGCATATGTTTTGTTTTTGTTTACTTGGTTACTACTAAATTATTTGCAAACAGCATCACAGAATAGTTGTGTTGGACAGGGAACAGCTGTTGCTGTGTTAGTGCGAGAACAAAATGGCCACCCTTCAGGTCTAGTCGTCTAACTCCACCTGACCGGCGCCAAGTGTGCGCCTAGAGCTCCTCTCAATTATGTTGAATAAGTGCGACGTGAAATGGGCCGTGCAGAGCCAGAAAGCACGGATCTGGTTGGAGCAATAACAGGCATCTCGCTTTGACAGAATGAACAGAATTACAGGGCAGTACTGCTTTTTTTATTGAGCCACAGAAGGGAAAGGCCGACAGTAAGAATTTAGGTCCTGCTATTAGTATTGATCTCTCTTTCTCATTTGTCTCTCTCGTTCCCTTCTCACCAGGTTCTCCATCAGCGAGAGGGCGTGAGGGAAGGAGTGCCCCGCATTCAAGCTCCCGCTGACCGCACTCCCCCCACCACCCTTCGCTCCGTCCACAGCATGGCTCTCGCTTTCTGGATCCTCTTTACCTGCACCATCACCCTGAGCAACGTCAGCCCCTCTGCCCAGGGTTTGTACTCAACCTACTCTTCTTCAGATCATTGCACAGCGAGCTGCTGAATTTGTTGTTGTTTTTTCTGGAATTTCTAATGCCATTTTCAAACATTCTGTGGTAACTTAAGGCTACGTACACCAACGCAGATGCAAATGCTTGGCTTAAACACTGGAAGTTTGCAGTCCCATTATGCATACATTTTCTGTTACTGTGGAGGTAACCTCTATACTCAGGGGGCAATAGAGAAGCCTTCTATTATCTTTGCTATTAAAGGCAGGCTAGGTGATTTGGTTCAAAAACATTTTTGTTTTGCTGGTTGAAAATCTCTTCACATCCCGATAGCAATCACTAAGTTAAGTGGTCTAAATGTATTTATATTATGCTTTCAAGCTATCTTGCTTTTGCTAGCCTCTCCGAAATTGTATACCCTTAAGCCAAACTTTAAGCTAGATCTGTTACTATTGAAATTTATTAAAAAGGATTATCTTCATTCTGATTCCATGAAAGAGAAAACTGACTACAGTTTTGGAAGTTTTCAGTCACTTG